ACCCTTAGGATTTTGGAGCAAAGCCCTGCCATCCTCTGCAGATAACTACTCTCCTTTTGAGAAACAGCTTTTGGCTTGTTACTGGACCTTAGTAGAGACTGAACACTTAACCATGGGCCACCAAGTCACCATGAGACCTGAAGCTGCTCATCATGAACTGGGTGTTGTTGACCCACAGAGTCATAAATTGCGACATTCACAGCCGTACTCCATCATTAACTTTAAGTGGTGCATACAAGATTGGTCCTGAGCAGGTCCTGAAGACACAGGTAAGTTGCACGAGGAAGTCACCACTCCTGTCACATTATCTGCCCTCTCCCAGTCCGCACCTATGGCCCCATGGGGAGTTCCTTATGATCAGTTGACCGCGGAAGACAAAACTCATTCCTGGTTTACAGATGGTTCTGCACGATATGCAGGCACCACTCAAAAGTGGACAGCAGCAGCACTATAAACCCTCTCTGGGGCATCCCTGAAGGACAGTGGTGAGGGGAAATCCTCCCAATGGGCAGAACTTCAACCAGTACACCTGGTTGTTCACTTTGCTTAGAAGGAGAAATGGCTGGATGTGCGATCGTATACTGATTCACGGGTTGTGGCCAATGGTTTGGCTGAATGATCAGGTACTTGGAAGGACCACGATTGGAAAACTGGTGACAAGGAGGTATGGGGAAGAGATTATGTGGACAGACTTCTCTGAATGAACCAAAGAAGTGAAGATATTTGTGTCTCATGTGAATGCTCATCAAACGGTGACTTTGGCAGAGGAGGGTTTTAACAATCAAGTGGAAAGGATGACGTGTTCTGTGGAAACCAGTCATCCTCCTTCCCTAGCCACTCCCATCATTGCCCAATGGGCTCAACAACAAAGTGGCCATGGTGGCAGGGATGGAGGTTATGCATAGACTCAGAAACATGGACTTCCACTCAATATCGCTGACTTGGCTATAGCCACTGCTGAGTGCCCAATCTGCTAGCAGCAGAGAACAACACCGAGGACTTAATATGATATGGCACCATTCCTCAAGGTGATCAGCCAGCAACCTAGTGGCAGGTTGATTACACTGGACTGCTTCCATCATGGAAAAGGCAGTGTTTCGTTCTTACTGGGATAGAATCTTACTCTGGATAAGGAGTTACCTTTCCTGCATGCAATGCTTCTGCCAAAACTACCATCCGTGGACTCACAGAATGCCTTATTCACCATCATGGTATCCTACACAGCATCGCCTCAGATCAAGGGACTCACTTCACAGCAAATGAAATAAGGCAATGGGCCCATGCTCATGAAATTCACTGGTCTTACCATGTTCACCATCATCTTGAAGCAGCTGGCTTGATAGAATGATGGAATGGCCTTCTAAAGACACAATTACAGAGCCAGCTAGATGGCAATACCTTGCAAGGTTGGGGCAATGTTCTCTAGGAGGCTGTATTTGCTCTAAACCAGCATCCATTATACGGTCCTGTTTCTCTCCCATAGCTAGAATTCATGGTTCCAGGAATCAAGGGGTGGAAATGGGAGTGGTACCACTTACTAGTACCCCTAGTGACCCACTTGCAAAATTTTAGCTTCCTATTCCTATGACCCTATGCTGTGGAGATCTAGAGGTCTTAGTTTCAACGGAAGGAATCTGCCCATCGGGAGATACAATGCGGATTCCACTGAACTGGAAGTTAAGAATGCCACCCAGACACTTTGTGCTCCTCATGTCTCTGGATCAAAGGCAGAGAAGGGATTTACCATATTGGCCAGTGTGACTGATCCTGATTACCAAGAGGAAATCGGACTGATGTTGCTCAATGGAAGTAAAGAAGAGTATGTCTGGAATGCAGGAGAGCACTCAGGTGTCTCTTAGTGCTACCATGCCCTGTGCTTAAAGTCAATGAAAAACTACAGCAATGCAATTCTGACATGACTACTAATGGCCCAGACCCTTCGCGAGTGAAAGTTTGGGTCACCCCACCAGACAAAGAACCACAATCAGCTAAGGTGCTTGCTGAGGGTAAATTGAATACGAAATGGGTGGTGGAAGAAGACAATTCTAAATACCAGTTATGACATGTTACCAGTTGCAGATAGAAGGACTATAATTGATATGAGTGTTTCTTCCTTGTTTTATTATACATGTATGTGTGCATAGACATAGAAATGATTTTTGTTTTCTTCCCTTCCTTATAAAATATAAGATGTAAATGGGATTAGTGCATTTTCGGTTATATGCATGTTAGTTGTATCATGTTTGGCACAAGTATGACTTTGGAATTGTCTTTATTTAGAGATTGTGTATGGTTTAAGGAGGTGTACACAGGTGCCAAGTTGACAAGGGGTGGACTGTGATGGTTGTCATGGTGTCATGGTTGTCACAGACTGTGATGGTGTCAACTTGGCTGGGTCATGATTCTCAGTGGTTTTGCAGTTATGTAATGATGAAGTTTGGCAGTTATGTAATGATGTAATCACCCTCCATGATGTGATCTGATGCGATCAATCAGTTTTAAGGGGACTTTCCTCGGGGACGTGGCCTGCATTCAGTATACATATGGACAGTCTGGCAAAGCTTGTTTGCTCACTCTGGATCCTTGCTCATCATCATCTGAACTCTAGATCTCGGGACTTGAGCCAGCAGCCTGCTGCCTGATTTGTTGATTCTGGGATTCATCAGCTTCTGCAGCCGCATGGGCCAACAGTCTGTCCTCTGATATGCTGATTTTGAGGTGCTCTGCCCCTGCAAATACGTGAATCAGGAGAAGCCGCCAGCCTGACCCACGGATATGGGACTTGCCAGCCTCCATAGCAGGGTGAGGCATTTCCTTGAGATAAATCTCTATATATATCTATATATGCTTCACTGGTTTTGCTTCTCTAGGGAACCCAACCTAAGACAGTGGGTGTCAAAAAGGTTTCCTATCAAAATTTCTGTGTAAACCAAGACCTGGAGGAGGAATCAGCCAAATAAGGAGTGGAGAATAAAATTCCAGGCAGAAGGAACTATGTGTCTGTGGTACACACACTTTAGTGACCCCCAAGAGTTACACCCTTATATAATTTCCTCCCGTAGAATGTGGGCAGAACCTATGACTTGCTTCTAGCCAACACACCATGGCAAAGGTGATGGTTAGTCACTCCCATGATTCCGTTATATTAGAGCCCATCTTAACTAGAGTGAGAGATTTTCCTGCTGACCTTGAAGAAGGGAGCTGTCAAGTTGTGATGGAGTCACAAGGCAGGGAACTATGGGTAGTCTCTAGATTCTGAGAGCAATCCCCGACTGACTGCAACAAAAACATGGGAACCTCAGTTCTATGACCACAAGGAACTGAATTCTACTAACAACCATGTTGGAAAAGGACCCCAAACTCCAGAAAAGAACACATTCTGGCTGACATCGTGATTGCTGCCTGGTGAGACACTGATCAGTGGGCCCAGCGAAGCCATGCCCAGACTCCTGACCCATGGAAACTATGTTTTGGTAAATGGGTGTTGCTTAACGCCACTAAGTTTGGGGTCACTCGTTACACAACAATAGATAGCTAATACAATACCCGTGCATGCCATCTCCACTCTATTAAATGTGTATATCGTAAATCACCAAGTGGGACATCCATTGTGCCCTTTTCCTTGCTGAGAGGCCTCAACATGATGCCTAAATACTTGGCAATGATCTCACATGAGTTCAATGGGAAGATACATTCTCTCTGCCTCCATTTTTCCTTTTATATTCTTCTTTTTTTAAAATAAAGAAATTCCTTGGTGAGAAACTAGATAATATGAGTGGAAAGAAAATGCATCTCAGACCTTGCCCTGCTACGTGACGGTTCAAGAAGATCAGGCTTCAGGACCAACTCTTTTGGGGATGTACATATAATCAGAGGTCTCCCCATAGCTGTCTGCTGTGTCCTACATATCTCCATCTTCCCCATGTGGTAAGATACTGGTGGGGAGGGAACGGGGGGAAAAGTCAAATGAGCTTCAGGGCTGGTCTCTGGTACTGGGACAAGAGATCATAAACCAATTTTATGGCCACTTTTTGGCGTTCAGGCCAGACTGTCTGCCTCTCATCTCGTGTCTTGAGTAACAGGTTAAGGACCTCAGCCATGCCAGCATGTTCAAAGAGTGGACTGGGATTTTGGTGGCTTATGGAATTTCAGCATTGTCTGCCGGTCTCCTGCTATATGGTGGGTGGTGTGTGTGGGGATAACAGCTGGGATTTAAATTATGGAAAGTTAGAAGGATCTGTGAGTCCCTAGGTGGTGCAAACGGTTAATGAATTCAGCTGCTAATAGAAAGCTTGGAAGTTTAAGTCTATCCAGAAGTGCCTTGGAAGAAAGGCCTGGCGATCTACTTCTGAAAAAAATCAGCCATTGACAACCCTATGGCACACAATTCAACTCTGATACACACCTATTGACTTTCTGGATGAATACATACACACAAACACTTAGGGTCAGATACAGGTAGTCCCCAACTTACTATGTACTGGAGTTACAACGAATCACACAATCATCTTTTTTTTTTGTTTTGGTACATTTTATCATTAGTAATAAGTACTACATGTAATGTTGCAGTGTGCAATTTGCTGATGTCATCATTATCTGTAAGTTGATATGTAATGTTTCCAACCCCCAAAGACAAAGACCAGATTTATAAAGATACTGATAATAAAGGCAACAATAATGAAAACTAAAAGAAAAAAAAAAAAAAAAAGGTATTCAGCTACGTCAGAACTGACTGATGATGGAGTCATCAGAACAAAGCCCCGTCGCAAATTGAGGACTACCTGGATTTCATTGTGTCCTCTAACAAAAACAAGCGTACCTGAAAAGTCAAGGACTTCAAACAGAAAGGTGTCTGCTTAGAAGACCAAAGGTTACGGTGGGCATGATCACATGAGCATCTTGCAAACGTTAAAAAAAACAAGTGATTGGCACGACCACCGAACACAAAACCTGCGAGCATCATGTTAACATCACCGAGGTGTTCGGTGGGGTACTGTTACCTTGGTCTTCCCCAGCTGCCACTCGCTGTTGGAGGCGTCGTAGAGCTGCAGCAGGGCGGTGCACTTTCCTCGGACGTCCTCGGGCAGAGTCAGGTTCCTCATCAGCATTTTATACCTGCAATACAAGGACGTGCGGTGTCACCTTGGACTGTGATTCCCTGTATGCCAAATCACCTTGGAAAGAACAATCCATTCAGCTCCAGCTTGCCTTTTGTAGAAGTCCTGAAAGGGTCTTCGGACAGCGTACCCAGCCTTTCGGATCCTCACCGTCTCCAGCATCCCAGAGTATCGCAGCTGGTTGAGCACAACTGCCTGGTCAAACTGGTCTGGCATCTAGAACACATGAAAAGGGAAGGAGATAAAGTTAACAAGGCTACTTCCATCATTGTTTTACTTACATGTGTGCCTTTGAGCATGAGTGCACATGTGCGTGCACACAGACACACACACTAGAATTCTGAACATACATAAAAACACAGAATAGGAGATAAACCACCATATACCCCTCACCTAGTTTACCCAGCATCTCCCTGTGTAAATCCTGCCAACTATGAGCTCATTTACTTATTCCCACTGTACATATAGAGGAACGCTGGTGGTGCAGCATTAAAGTGCTTAGCTGCTAACCAAAAGGTCAGCGGTTCAAATCCACCAGCTGCCCTGCAGGAGAAAGATGTGGCAGTCTGCTTCCTTAAAGATTTACAGCCTTGGAAACCCTATGGGGCAGTTCTACTCTGTCCTACAGGGTCATTTTGAGTCGGAACTGACTCAGCGTCAATGGGTTTGGTTTTTGGACTGTGCATACATACACATATACACAAACGTTGTTGCTGTTAGGTGCTGTTGAGTCGGTTCTGACCCATAGCGACCCTACGTACAACAGAAAGAAACACTACCTAGTCCTGCACCATCCTCACAATCCTTGCTATGCTTGAGCCCACTGTTGCAGTCACTGTATCAAACTTGCCCGCCACAGGTGACCCTGCTGATATTTGAATACTGGAGGCATAGTTTCCAGCATCACGGCAACGTGCAAACCCCTACAGTACAAAAAACTGACAGATGCATGTGGGCACACACATATATGTATTATGTATGTATGCATACAAATATGTATATATACTTTTATTTTTGTTGTTGAGAATATACACAGCAGAACCTATGCCAATTCAATAATTTCTCCGTGTATAATTCAGTGACATCGATTACATTGAGTTGTGCATTCTCACCTTTCTTTTCCAAGTTGTTCCTTCTCCATTAACATAAACTCACTGCCCACTAAGTTTCCTATCTAATCTTTCAAGTTGCTGTTGTCAATTTGATCTCATATAGATAGATCTTGAAAGGGCATAATGCTCCAGACCGACATTCTTTACTAAACCTGTTGCTGTCGAGTTGATTCCGACTCGGAGTAACTCTACAGGACTGATCAGAACTGCCCTATAGAGTTTCCAAGGAGTGCCTGGTGGACTCGAACTGCCAACCTTGTGGTCAGCAGGGTTTCCAACATTCTTTACTAGTTAAACTATTTTTTGGTTTGGAGAAGACTTCAGGGGATATTTCTGGTTTAAGGTTTAAAGATTATCTCAGGGCAATAGTTTTGGAGGTTCATCCAGTCTCAAAGACTCCAGAATTTCTGGATTCCATGAGAATTTGAAATTCTGCTCTGTATTTCCCTCCTTTTGATCAGGATTCTGCTATAGGCAAACCTGGTGGCGTAGTGGTTAAGTACTATGGCTGCTAACCAAAAGTTTGGCAGTTCGAATCAACCAGACACTCCTTGGAAACTCTATGTGGGCAGTTCTACTGTCCTATAGGGTTGCTATGAGTCGGAATCAACTCGAAGGCAATGGGTTTATTGAATCTTTGATCAAAATGTTCAGTAATGGTAGCCGGGCACCATCCAGTTCTTCTGATCTCATGTCAAAGGAGACAGTTGTTCATGGAAGCAATTAGCCACACATTCCATTTCCCCCTCCTATTCCTCTCTTTTTCTCTGTTGCTCCAGGCAAATAGAGACCAATTGTTGTGCTTGCATGGCAGCCTGCAAGCTTTTAAGACCCCAGGAGCTAAGCAAGGAATGAGAAGGTAGAACAGAAGCACTAAACACATTATTAGGCCAATTAACTGGGATGTCTCACAAAAGCCATGACCCTAAACCTCCAAACCAAGGAACCAAATCCTGTGAGGTGTTTGTACACAAGCAACCTCAGCAACTGTTTTTTTGTTATTGTTGTAAATATATCTATCACACAACTTTTGCCAATTCAACTTTTTACAGATGTACACTTATTGACATCAATTATATGAATCGGCTGTGCAACCCTTAAGCATCGCAATTTTTCCATAACTATAAACCAAAAGTCAGTGTTCCACAAGCAATAACTCCCACTGTATATCTTGAAGTCCTAGACATCACATCAAGGAGCTCTAGTGGTGCAATGGTTAAGCACTCAGCTGCTAATCAAGAGGTCATTGGCTTGAACCCAGCAGCTGCTCCATGGGAGAAAAGTCCTGGTGATCTGCTCCCATAAAGATTATTGCCTACAAAACCCTATGCGGCAGGTCTACTCTGTCACATGGAGTTTCTGAGTCAAAATCGACTCCAAGGCACCTAACAGACATTGTATCATCTTAACTGTAAATATTTCAGTATGTGTCACTTTTTAACATAACCACAACACTATGATCATATTGTTAAAAATACCAATCATCCCTTAATATTAATCAGTATTCAAATTTCTGATTGTCTCCCAAGTATCATAAATATATCACCATTTCAAAATCTACTTTCTCCAAAGAATCTAAGGTGCCATACAAATACCACTTTATTTACTTTTTCAACTTTCTATAAAAAGGCATTGGTTTAGCTAAAGGATACAGTCAGTGACTAGGTGAGGGACACACACACACACTACAAGGATACATACAAATTGAAATAAAAAAAGGTTGAAGTTCCCCTGGTAAAAATAAGGGGAGAGGGCTCCCCTCCTCCCATGTTCTTTTCTAATTCATTTTAGATAACTTGTAATTGTAAACTTTTTTTTTTCTCTTTGAAAAGTATGTAAATCTCAGCTGTCTCCCAGTCTGGCAGCTCCCTCTTTGAAATGTAACATCAGGTAATTCTCCCCTACTTTCCCGTTTGCAGGAAAGAGATTAGCATTCCCTCAAGTGGCCCTACCTCCAGTCATAAAGATATTAGAAAATTAACAATATTATCTTGAAACCGTGAACGTGACGTGTTGCATCAGCTTAGCTATAAAACTGTTAAGATTGCTTTCGGTCTTTGCGATCTCTTCAGCAGATCGCCTGGGATGCATTTCTTTCTATTTTTGTGGAAAGACTTTCTGGGTCAAGAGTAGAATTTGCTTTTGGTAACTTTTCAGCCACAACAATAACACACACATCAGTGATGCTAGTCGGTGGAGAAAAGAGAAAAAAATTTTAAAAACTTTAAATTTCCTCAATTTTTAGTCAAATACCCCATTAATTGAGAGCTCAATACCATTATCATGAAATAAAAGAAAGAAATTAGAATGTTAATCTACTCAAAGATAGAGGAAATCAAAGCAAGACTTGTTCTAAAATGTATTTTCTTATCTGCTCAGTTGCCAAACAAACTGGCATTGCTGACACAATCGTTTTTTCAGGGTAAACTAGAAAAACTTGGCCATTTACAACTTTCTGGACAGTGATTTTTTTAAATCCAACCACCCAATCCCTTACACTTAATTTGTACTTTATTACTGTATAGAGCAGTGGATAAAGTAACTGAAAATTAAGGTCACAGAATATAAGTAGTTAAAAAGTATTTTAAAAAAGTGGCTTAATTTGTGACCTTTAAGAATCAATTCTACATTGAAATCATTAACACAAAGCTAGGTTTAAAGCCATGCTATTCTGCCAGCTTTCAAAAACAGCAAAAGTAAACTTAAAGAATGCTCGCCAAATCTCCCTTACAGATTTATTTAATAGCTGTCATCATCGCTAGGGGAATGACTTCTCTTCTATTTAATGTTTTAAAATTGTCTTTATTCAGCAGTTTTCTAACCAAGTATAGCCAACAAATTAGGGCATACACATCCAAAGAATTATGATGCTTGGATTCTTAGTCAATTATCTGAAATGCACTTAGAAAAGTGACAAAAGGATAAAAATATGCAAACGGAATTACCCTTCATTACTCTTAGACCACATTTTAGACTGAAAAAACCAGGGACAGGAGAGTGGGAAGGGGCAAACCTTTCTGAAGGTATTCTATTAAAATGCTTCTGCTGTATTTATTTGGAAACAGAATCTGACCATTAAGCAACGTACAAAGACGAGGGTGGAGTGAACATAAAACAAAGACTGAATAAAAAAGTATCAGACTTACTCAACTTTATTAAATCCATCACCAGTGAAATCTTCTAACTTAATATTTAACCATCTGATGCTCAAGGACTTAACACCTCTAAAGCTTTTACTGTTCTTAACTCACATTCTTTTTACTTCCTTATTTTCTGTTTAACAAAGTCCATACAACTCCTCAGCTCAGCACTAGAGTTATGAAAACATCCTAAAAGATAATTACTAAAATGGATGTCCCGTCCAGAAAGTTCGGCAACACTTACCATCTTCCAATCTCTCCTAGGACACCCCACCTTCAGTGTGGCTATTCAGGCTAAAATTCATATGGAAAACAACTGCCTCACTGACCTTTCCCCCACAGCCAAAGACACTGAACAATAATGAACACCATTCCTGCGCTTTAAAAGTGCTCCGTCACCATGGCAACCCCTTCCACTCTCCGGCTAATTAGTGTGGTGTGGTTGTAGGATTTGATACAGCCCAGGGAGGGGAGGAGAGAGCCAGGGCTGGCTACTTGCAGGCTCCCATTGCGATTGTATTTCTGCCTCTTCATGGTAATTTAACCAGGGGGCAGGGGGATCTAGAGGCTGATTGTCGCCCTGGGCAACCACATTGCAATCGCCAGGAGGGAACCACCTGTACTTCCACTGGTGGTTCTGTTTTTAGTTTCAACTTCCTTTTCTGGCGAATTTAATGTTCAAAGATGACACAGCTGGAGACTGGACAAGTAACAACTTAAAGGCATTTTTGCCTTTCAAAATTCACTTCAGCACTCCAATCTCCACTGGTAACTAGTTTTCCAGAACTTGAGTTCATGCTCACAAAGACTTCCTGTAGTGCCCTAACAGAGAAGTTCTGATGGCGACAAATAGGCTGGATTTTGGAAGTAACAGCCAAAAACCCACTGCCCTTGAGATTCTGACTCACAGTGACCCTATACGACAGAGTAGAACTGCCCCATAGGATTTCCAAGGAGCAGCTGG